CCTTAAAAAACCCAGCCACTTACATGAAACCAACCACTCTGGCCATCATTATTGCCAGATACGTGCTGTAAGATTACAGATAAAATAGATTGGTAGGATTCAGATGCTTTAAAGCCTGCATGCAGCTGATGCTTCCTTGAACAGTCTCAATATGATTTAACCATATCAATTTGTCTTAATGATACAAAACAATGAATTAATACATTTCTTTTAAAGATCTTTATGTGATCTATTCCATAACATTTACAATCAAATGCATAGTAAGCTTATATAGTAAAAAAGGTGTTACAAATTATGTTACAATCTCATATTGACAAGCTATACTTTATAGCCATAATTTTCATGCTAAGAAGACAACTTGTCCTTTAGTCCAAAACATTCTGCTTTAGTAAGATATATAATATGAACTCACTAAGTGTAGTTGTAACTGTGTTACTAAAATTGCAGTGGTTCACACTAAATAAATTAGAGTATTAGGAGTGTACATGTCATGAATTTAAAACTCCAGAATAATGCAATGTGAGATACCAAACTGAGCAAGTGTTCACACAGAGTATTTGGAGGCCTGGAGAAAAGCATCCAGATCCAATTAGAACCATATATTGAGGTCTGTAGAGTTTCAGCTTTACTTTCCTATCTACATTGATAAACAATTTCTATTTTAAACATTCTCACTGTTTGAAACTGAAATGTGATTTTGTTTTTTAATATCCTGATGCTTCTCTGTCTCCATTTAAATCAATGGCAAGTGATTTTTTGAAATAAAATGAACAGCATTAGCTGTAATTCTTGAAGAATTACTTAGTAAAATACATCTTTCTCTAAGCATCCTTTCAGCATATAAGCTAATACTTTTACTGCTTGTGTGGTGATTGAACTTCTGCTTTTAATGCCATTTATTGTTTTTCTAGGTACAGTTAAAACTGTGTAGAGCTTAGACTCTAATAAATAGATTGTGCATGTTGTATGAATATTTTTGCTTGTGGGAAGCAAGACAGTAGCTTACAGTTTAACAGTGGGTGCATTTGTGGGTGAAATCCAGTCCTGGGAAGGGGGCCAGTTCCCGGTGATTTCATTCTTCAGTGCAGAACATTAATGCAGAAATCCTGCCACCCTCCTGACCCTAATCATCCCAAATGGCTTGGTGGCTGGGAGCCATAAGACACCGAGTACACAGCCTGGGGAGCCAGGGAGAGGGGAAGCCCAAGAGCAGGTTGCAGCTGGCACTGGTTCCTGGAGTGGGGAGCACTGGTGCGGGGAAGGGCTGGGCCGGGGTCCTGCCGGCTTCTGCAGCCGGTGCCTCTCCTTATTCCCCTCCAGCCAGGCTCCTCTCTGCCTGTTCCCAGCAGGGCCGTTGTGCTCGAACTGGTTGGGAATCACTTGTTACCTTCCCTGGTGCTCATCCTGTAAAAACAAGTCTTATTTCTTTTTATGAACTCTGTTTCAGTAGGTGTTACTGCAACGTTCGCACTCTATTCATTCACCTTCCCTCAAGGTGCTCTGTCGTAGGGCAAGAAAGGATTAAAACATACTTCAGGACTTCAGCAAATATATTTCATAAAGAATTAACATGTGTTAAAACCGTGTGAGACAGCTTAATGTACCTTTGTAAATAATTATGTTCCTGAATGTGGTTAAGACAATCTCTGCTGAGAAGCTGGAACACAATGACTTGTCCTTCCAATTTATGTATCATCTTTTGTTCAGAAAAAGGGTGGGGTTAAAAGGCCAGGCAGTAAGGATTTCACCTTTGTCATTAATCCATGAAATACCTTTGAATAAATCTGATTCTAAGTTAGTCACCCCAGAATAACTAAAGGAACAGTATCTGAAATTCAACAGACAATTTGATATTTTAAACTTTTCTCAGCCTGTTTTGAACATTCAGGTCAGCAACTGAGTCTCCTTCCACATTAGTAAACCAGTTTGTAATTGACTGCAATACCAGCCTTTGATGGTATAACTTGAACCTTTGATACACCTTCTTATCTTCAGTTAAACAATTTCTTCTCTCTGTTTTCTTCAATTTATTCTAGTTGGAAGCTGGTTGGTTTCTCAGTGTTTCATAATGGAAAGGGTGCAGAACACATGAAATCAGGAAAAATAGTTATTTTCCCTGTGCAAACTAAAGAGTTTCAAGGCAGGATTCTGGGCTTGGCAAGTGCATCGTGGCCACAGTGTTTTCCTGTTACCAAGCCCTGTGGTTGATACTGTGTTCTTGTTGTGGTGACCAAGCAGGTTCCTACACCACAAGTAAATGTCATCCCTACAAGATGGAGTTATTTTGAACTCTGCATGATAGTTAAAGCTCTTGGCCTTCAGAAAACTGAGACTTAAGCAGCAAATCAAGCAACTCATTTTATTTTTGATGCAGTGCTATGACAGCGACTAGTTGGAATCTTACTTTTTGTGCTGTTGTATAATTCTCTGGTGCTTCTCACCATTGTGCATCGATGCTGTGAAATGCAAGAAAATTCCAGGGACATGTAAGAAAATATCAACTTGCCATGGAAGATGTATTGGTGAGGCAATGGTCGAATTCTTTCTTTATATGCAATTCTAAGCCTGGAACAGCTTCCTTGTCTTCAGCAGATGAGAATGAAATCTGGCTCATTTAATCTAATTTTGTCTCTGCCAACAGATCCTTCTCTCTAGTTCTGGTCTGCAGAGTTGATTTTTGTAATAGCTTCAATATGAAAAGAAATTGTTTAAATCTCAGCACAACAAACCTCCAGTGTTTCCTTTGGATGTTTTGTAGCTCCCACTGTTAACCAGGAACTTTGCAATTAATTTTATTTTATTTTTTTTATTTTGATAATGATGCCTGGACTACTGGAAGATCTGACATTTACTCACACAAAACAATTTATCTTGGTGTAACAGGATCAGCATCTCAGCTGGGGCTTCTGGACGCTACTCTACTACAAACAAAATCAAAACCCCAGTCAGCTGAAATGAATAGTAGAATATTGGAGATGTCCTTACTCTCCTTGCAGACAGAAGAACGTGTTGAGGATATTAAATCCTATTAAATCAGAACACAATAAATGGAGAGAAATGGATTTTTCAATAAATACCAAACATGTTAGATAGCACCTATCACTTGCAACCAGCAGTGCTTCTTAAAATATTGCTACAACATTCTTAATGGATGGTTTTCCTGGTGGCTACGTAGGCATGTGTACTGTGCTAGCTCCCCCCTCCTCTTGCACTGCAATACGTAGGAAGCTCTTATTCCCAAATGGAGCATTTGCTTGCTGACATCACATGCAGTAGGATCCTTTTGTTTGCCTCTGTCTCCTGCATTGAAATGTTTGTCTGAGTCACAAATCCCACTGCCTTTCCTCCTCTTTGTCATGTTTGCTCCAGAGCTGCTCCCTGACTCACAGGTTTTAAATTTTGACAGAGCCCAGTTTGCTGCATGGCAGTTAGATACTTTTCCTTTTAATATTTTATTATGCCATTTATATCTAAACACTATAATGATCCAAAAATCACTGCCACTTTTTCTGCAGCTTTTTGAATAGAGAGGTTTTGTGACTCAGATTCAGTGCTGAATTTTAAGGCAAAGTCAGTTTAGTGTTACTAAATTAAAAATTCAAGATAGTGACTCCCACAACTTGAAAGCTCCATTTAGTCTGTAGGCTGAGTTTCCTCAGCTATAACATTATCAAGCACTATTCCAGAAAGAGGTCATATGTGTACAGACACTTCTCATAATTGATGTAATTACCATTTTGCACTGCGGTACCTTTCTTCTTCTCCAATAACCTTATTGATTTGTTTTCCCTTAATAAAAAGAGGTTTTGTCAAACCCTGCTGTATTTTCAGTGCACATCCATTCTTTCATTTGGTTTAGATTCTGGAGCTGCTAATATATTGCTGGTGTCTAAGAAGCTTGGGTTTCCTCTTTATTAAAGCCACAAAAAACACTGATCCTGATTACAGAATCATTCTGAAAGCTTTGGTAGAAGAACATGGAAGCTGTGCAGCAGTTTGATTCAAGCTTGAGTGACAGTAAAATATTCTTACTTATTAAGCCAGGAACATGAAATTGCCATGCTGGATTAAATCTTTTGTCCTTCAGATGGAGTCTTTCATCTCTGTTGTTTCCACTACAAGATAGATGAGAAGTTCAAAACAGTGCTTTCCTTGTCCTTGATCAAGGACTTTGGAGCAGGTAAAGGCTAATGCCCCAGTCTGGCACAGCATTTAGGGAAGTATTTATTTTAAAATAATTATTCAGCAGCTTCACTGCCTTCTGCCCTGGTCTGAGGCATGTGAGCAGGTTGCTGCATGAAACCTTGTTAGAATTCAGATACATACAAAACCAGATGAGTTATCAAGAATTGTGTCATTAAATGTACTGTATTAGATGTTCACATTGCATTGTTGTTTTTATTTTACCCAGAGTAAAAGAAGTTGTATTCTCCATCTGCCTCCAAAAAAGCTGAGGTCTCTTGTTATAGAAAACATAGATTTTTATTACAAAAGTAAAATTATGCCATACAGAAGGGAATTTCCCAATTTGCATATTGCAGAATATTGCATCTAGAGCAG